TCCGGTTCCAGATTCCAGCATTCCATATTTTCCAAACTGCCAAATAAAATTGGGTCTTAGTTTACGTAATTAGCTTTCGTTATTACGAAAACTAAGATCCCACCTGAAATGTGATACAAAACGTTTTCCGCTTTACAAGTAACGACACTACTTATAAAGTTTGCAAACTCTGATTGTCTGAACCGTTCCGTTCAAAAAATTTCCTCAAGTTCCATTATATTTGCACCTTGTAGAACGATTCAAAACAATTGCAAAACAATTCTAAAAATAGCTCAGTGTCTGGGAGGAAATTTTAGAATCGCCCGTCGCGCGAGGAAATACTTCGAAACGCACTTAATGTTAAAGCACCCAGATTCTTCGATCCAAACGGTAAAGCAACAAATCAAGATGATGTATAAACTCTCCCGCCTACCTTGAAAAAATTGATAAATAAGAAAAATGAGATGGGGTTTTAGTTTTCGTAATGAGATTTCGTAATTACGAAAACTACGACACCGAAAAAGTGAAAATTAATGAAAAGACGGGGGGTCTTCGTTTTCGTAACACCCCGTTTCGACTTGTCGCGCCCTAGTCGGCTTACGATTAGATCAAGCTAAAGCAAAAGATTATTTTCTGGAAGGTACATTTAATAAGTTCTACTTCATTATTGCTGAGCCAGGTTTATGTTCCTAGTAGCGTCTAAAGCAGTGCTGGTTTTGCTGGAGGTTGTGTTAATAAAGTAGATAGAGTTTGCGTTGGCAGTTACGGTGGTGCTTGCAGTTTTGTTAACAGTGTGGATAGCGTTCGGAAGATCGTGAACCTCGTCATGCACACATGGAGGCGAGTTGACTTAATTCCCATCGGCAATATAAATAATATCGCCTTCTCCCAAATCTCTATCAAGGCGGAAGAGTGGGGAGTCTCTATATTCTTTTATTCAATTGTCCGATAGTTAATCGACCGTAACATTTACCTTTCCTGTCCATTTCCGGTGTTTTAAGATCCTCCTTTTAACAGATTTCGTGGAGGTGTCATTATGTTGTAGGTGCAATCGTCTATCCGTGAAAAGGAGGCATCACATATATATATTTTGTGGAATCTGTAGTACTGATTACAAACGAAAAGAAAAGGAAAATGTCCTAACACTAACACCAATTTAAGAGCGTAAACGAAGTACGTGCGAAGTACTTGTTCGTTTCTACTCTATCTTACGGGTCTAAAATGCTCAATAGGGCCTTCATCACGAAGACAACATCGGGTGAGCTCGATTTTGCAATCGAAAATGGGACCGAAGATGACCTCCTTCTGACGGACATCGGAACACGCTTCCTAATTTCTCGATTGACGGAAAAATTCGAGATCGACAAAAAAATTTTCGATCGACAGGAAATTTCTCGATCGGCAAGAAAATTTCTGAATCGACAAAAAATTACTCATCGACAAAAAAAATTCTCGATCAACAAAATCAATTCTCAATCTACCAAAAACGTCTCAACCGGTGAAAAAAATTGTTTGACCGATGTAAAAGTTTTCTCGATCCTTTAAAATATTTCTGGACTTCCACAATATTTCTCGTCGGAGGGAATTATTTCTCAATCATAGAAAGAATTTTCTCGATGGTCAAAAATATTTCTGGACCATCGAAAATATATCTCGAAAGACAAAATTATTTCTCGGCCAACAAAATTATTCTCGACCAATTTTGTCCAGTATGGCTTTCCATACAAAACCGACTTGTGAACCAACATGTCGCCAAATTGCGAAGACACCCCGTGAAAATCAAAAAGTGGCAATGAGCCCGCAAGTTTCACGTTTATTCTTTCATGAGTCCTCTACAATGCCAACTTATAAAGGAATCTGTGATCCGTTTTGAGAACGAGCAACGAAATTTTACTCTTTCCGTGTTTGTGTTAGGGTTACATTGTTTGGGTTAATTGTTTGTGTTAGGTCTGTTTATTCAAGCATTGCGTCGTGCATGTCTAGACAACAAATATATGCAAATTTCACAGCCAAGTTAAATGTCACTTTTAGGAGTCGGCATCTCAGAACTTTTCTAGTTGGAATTTTTCTTGGGTGTAACAATTGATTATGATAATTAATTGACGCCATAATTCAGTCAAAAATAAAAACACAATACTTTTCTTCTGTAGGAAAATATCGGTATTTTGGGACGATTCCTCAAATACAATTCAAGCGAAATTGGAATAAGAAATCGCGATGTGACGCGTCGGTGCCTATCATTGTGGCTTTTAGCCACTTCAGTTCTTGGGAATGACTTGACGAAAGGACACACTAGCGAGATTCGGGAGCTTTTGTAAACATGTAATTGAACGAAGTTCACGCGGAAGTCATAAGTACTCTTTCATTTCGCGTGAGTTTACTTATTAAATTGTTGTTTCTCGAGTAATTTGCTCTAATATTCTCGACAAGAAGATCAATCATGAAAATGAATATGACAAAATGAATTGAAGACAAACTCGTGGTCTTTGGTACTAAGTTTCGTCTTGTGTTTCGTCCGTTCACCGCGTGGGCAACACGCAAGCAGAGGTCACGCATATCTCCGGATGAAACCCACCGAACGAAGTTCACGTGAAAGCTCCACTTGTTACGTGATTTGCGAGTCATAGAAGTGCTTATTCGTGTTGCCGTAAGTTTACTTCTAGTTTTGTTGCATTTTCTGTTTCTCGAATAATTTGTTATTACTCTCGACACAAAAATCACGGAAGTGAATAATACAAAAGGAGTTGAGGAAAAACTTGTCTTTGGAACGTGTCATCTTGTATTTCGTTTCGCATAGGCAACACACGTACAGCACATGCACGTACGTCCCTTACATGTACCTAAGGGGGCCCTAAGGGAAACATCCTCATGATCTTACCATGCACGCTGAGCACTTATAACTAGAAGACAATCTGTCTCAACTCTTTGAGTCTTCATAAAACTGCCTGAAAGAGTAAATTCCCCATTTACGATTGGTTTCACAGGATTAAAGCTCTTAATCAAAATATACTTACCAACAACAATCACTTTAACTGCTTGGCCTCTAACAGGATCCTCAACTTTATTATTAGCTACGCAGCTGTATGTTCCAGAATCAGTAACATTGATGTTTGTAAAATTCCAAGTGGGTCCGTAGTGCTTTATTTCATTGCTACCATCAGCAGGGACTTTGGTCCAGTTAACATTTGGTGCTGGCCTACCAGTTACTTTACAGAACAAGTGGAGGTTTCCCCCTTTAGGTACTACTTGGTCACCTCTTACTTGATCAGTTATCTTCACTGGAGCTACAAAGACAACAAAACCAATGGCATAAGATGTTTCTTTCTTTTGTTCATAGACATCTTGTGTACATAAATATAGATTTTGTAATAAAACATCACTGAAGTATAATTAACATTTATTTACCCACTTGTTAGATAGTTAAA